AGAGAGAGAGATACGGCGGGAGGAGAGAGAGAGAGAGAGAGAGAGAGAGAGAGAGAGAGAGAGAGAGAGAGAGAGAGAGAGAGAGAGAGAGAGAGAGAGAGAGAGAGAGAGATTAGTCTTGGAAGACACACGCGCACACTTCTAAACAAACGCACGACGTCTCGCTCACCAGCAAATCTAGTCTCCATTCCTTCTCCAAACCTCAGAGAAAGTGGTTGTTCGCGCTAGCAGCGTGCTTTACGTAAATTACCAAAACTTCTGGAAAGTTCTTTTCGTAAACAGAATAACGTTGTCTGTCATAGTTTTCTGGTGGCTTCCTGCTATCGTGAAATTTTTAAGGATTTAAACTCGACCATTCTTCGGACATATCTGTAACAGAACTATCTACCATGACTCAGACAGCGGTCCAACTTCAAAGGCACCCCGGAGCCTCATGGGGGTTCAGACTTCAGGGTGGCAGAGATTTCTCCTCTGAGCTCAGCGTGAAAAAGGTGCGTGCAACACATAATTTATATCTAGTTTTGAGTGATTTAATAGCTAAATTGCAACTTGCCATATGATTTTTCAACAATCGTTTTGTCTGTGCAGTTGTTTTTAAAAAAAATAATTCGGGGGGTTGTCTTTTGGTTATTGTTTTATCCTGTGTTTTTTGTGGGGGTTATAAGTTTGTTTGCTTGTTTGTTTGTTTGTTTTCGTTCATTCTTTCATCTTCTGTTTGAAAGTACATTTCACGAGAGCGTCTATTTTACCAAGAATATCAAACCAAGACCAACTTTAATCGTCGAGGACGCGAAGCATTGTGAATAAAATGAATAATCTGACAATAATGATAAACGTAAAAGAGAAAATATAAAATGAGTGAGCATTTGACCTGGAGGCATCGGGCAAAGAAGAAGAAGAAACAGAGAGCACGCAATGAGATGGTGCTCGTTTGGTAAAAGGTGGCTGTTGAAACGGTATGGGTTTCATTCAAAGCGTTTATTCCGAACTAGGGAAAGCAAACTGAAGAGATGTTTCTTTCGCTGTTGAATTAGATCGTTGCACTAGAAGAAAACAACGTGACCAGTTTCGATGTGAAAATATTTGAGATGTATCACAGTATCCTCACTTTGTGGCCTTAAATCAAAAGGGTACTTTGAGCTCGGTATTGAATTATTTAATACTGTTAACCCGTTTCACCGCAGATGATAATGGAAGTTGTACAATACAGAGTTTAAAAGGATATTGTACACAATGTTTTCTGCACCATTGATAGACTTTAGATCACTGAGAAGGTGGGCTGATCCAACTCAGCATATTACAATCAAACAGGGCGCAGAGAGATGCCAGGTCCAAAAGGATAGAACGAGATACTCAATAAAAAAAAAAACTTAGCTCTGAAACTAAACTTTTAATATGTATTCTGGGGTTCCATCGATTTTACAGCTCATTGTCCTCTGAATTGTATGTTTAAATCCGTATTAACCCTTTCTTTATTTTCAAAAATCTTTTTATCATTCCTTTGGGGTTTTTTTTGCTGTTGTTTGGATGTAAAATATTTTTACGTCTTAGGCGACATAATCCACTACTGTTACAGTGTAATTTAGAATAGAAGACAAGTTGTTTAGATTCTGCAAGTTAGAGTGGACTACAACATTGTAAAGGAAAAACAGAAAAGCTCGAAGAATTATCTTCCTAATAATGGAATCGAACGCACGCCTGTTAACCGTTACTCAAATTTGTCATAGTATTCGTGAGTCAACATGAGTCTGCTTGTTAATGTACGTAATATTATGTGAAAATGTGTTTGTGTGTTGAAGAGTCAGTTGTGTGAGAGAGTATACGTGAATGCGAGTGTGTACGGGTGTGTATGTGTGTGTGTGTATGTTTATGAGTGTGTGCGTGCGTTCGTGTGGAAAACACCAAACCAATGTCCCATTATATGGACAATAAATATAAATCTTATCTTACAAAGCACAGCACCAAATCATTATACCGCGGACGCCAAACTCGTAACCTTAAGAATTACCAATAAGTACAGGATTGTCAACGCTTAAAGTTGACATTGTTTTCTTGTGTGCATGACGTTAAGGAGAACCAGATTTGGCCCCACTGAGAATAGAAATGTCGGATATGTGTACTACGTTACGTAATTTCCGAATGGAGAGCTACTAATGCAATAACAATTGCTTCCTACTTTGTCCTTTTGCGCCCACCTGTCTTCCATCCTTCATTTCCTTCACTTTTAAGCTACAGCATATTTCTGAGGTCATATCTTTAAAAAAAATTGTGCAACACTTGGACTTGGATATCTTAGATCAGACTACGTAACCCGCACAGATGGCTCCAGTATTAAAAACAGGTTACGTCCACAGTGAGACTGAGTGAGATGAACACAATTTACCACCTTCATGGCAAAGTGCAAGGTTAAAAGGTATATAAATACACTTTATATATATATCTAATATATATAAA